GACGCGCTACTCGCCGCTTTCATCCGCTGCCAAGGACATCGCAACGTTGTTTCATCCAAATTTCAAATCGGAGACACCCACGAATGCCAGAGGTTTTGCAACCGCCCTTCGCAAGGGCACGGGGGGCTCCACGGATCGTTTCAAGCAAGGGTGGGCTTTGGTGGGCAGCGTCGCCGCGTGTTGGTTCCGCTTTTCATGCTCCTCACTTGCCTTCTCCGTGTCCATTTTGGCACGATGCCCGAGCGGCTGCGATCCAGATGTCCCGAGTCCATGTCGACCTCGCATAGTCCCGCGGGCGATGCCGCCCTGGCGCTGCTGTTGGTCGGCACGGCGGCCATGGGCTTGCTGCCCCTCATTGGCGCCCGCGACGCGCTTGCGATGGTGTCCGCGGGCTCCGTCGTGCACGGGGTCTACGCGCTCCTCCTGCCAGGCCGCATGGTGTACCGCCTTCAGCCTAAGGTCTCCGCCCGATCGCCGGGGGAGCTGCGCGTGGTCGACCTGTTCCGCGCTTGGGGCATGTTCGCGGTAACCCTGGGCGCCTGCGGGCTGCAGTTGCACGACGCGGGCACCGCAAGCGCCGCCGCGGCCGGCAACAGGGCATTTTTCGTTTTTTGGTTCGTGTCGATCCTTTGGGACTACCGCGTAATGCGAGCCGAACACTGGGGCGCCCGGGGATTCGTGGCCGTCAACATGTCCGTGAACGCGGCGGTGTGCCTCGCCACTGGCACTGAGCTAGTGCGGAAGAGCGCGCTTCGTCTGCGAGGGGCACCGCCGCGGGCCACAGCCAGACCTGACCTGTGAGCCGCCCCCGGGTGCCGTTTGTCGTTCGCCTCGTGCTCATCATCCCGCTCCTCTTCCCAGGGCCTTTGTGTACCTTCGAGGCAAATCATTATCCTGAAGGTGTTCGTTTTCGGCTTCCCTCTTCCTCGTCACTCTCGTTTGCACTCCGTGTCGTCAACATTATGGTCCGCAGTTGCCTCTACGTGTGGCCAGGGGTAACGGGATGTTTGCCCTCATTGGGACATCATCAATCCAGTTCCCAATGATGTGGTTCGGCTGGTGCTTGCCAGCCGAGAACTCTGGCTCGGGTAGGAACACATTCGAGGCGCGGTGGATGCTGCATCAGCTTCATGCTGCGAGTGGGCTGGTACTCTGATGTAGAAGCCTGGTCTTGCCACAGCTGCAGGGCATGCGTGCTGGGGACAGCTGAGCGCCATGCACATATTTGGTGCTTTCTTTTGCAATGCAGGCAAGGATGGGGAAATCCACCGTCCGAATCTTGGTTTATTCGTCGGTTCGGATCTCGAGGTCACTCGCAGGAGCGCGGAGGTGGCCGCGTTTCGCGTTTCGCGGCGTGGGCTGGGTGACAATTCTTGCCCAGACGGGGGGCGGCGGAGCGACAGCGCGAGGGTAATCACGCGTCACGCAGCGCCAATCGCGAAATTGGGTGATCCGAGTTCCCCTGGCGGTGCGCACAAGGGAATGGCGCAAGGGGGGCGGCTTTTTGAGAAGGCCGGGGGCTTTCTGAGGCTGTGACCTTCCTGGAAGGGCCTTCCGAGATGGCTACCAAAAGCCCCCTGGCCTCTTTAGAAGCCTCCCAACCCGCCTTCTTAGACGGCCACACCCGTCTCGCCACCGCTTTTTGCGCGCCGCGAATTCTCTGCCTCCACATGCAGCCCACCCTCCCGGCCCGGGTTGCTGGCTTTCGAGGCAGAGGGCAGCGTCTCGGCGGAGACGGACAGCACGGACAGCGCCCCCCCGACGAACAGGCAGGGACCCGCCCCCAGCAGGGACAGAGGCACGGCTCTTGGGAGGTTGTGAATGTGTAAGTTCCACCGTGGGCTTTCCACACAGAGCATAGTCTTCGAGCAGCCGGAGAAGCTGTGGCATCCTAGCCCCGCTGGAGGCAGGCGGAGGGCCCTTGGAAGCAAGTCGAAGCCAACATGGGGGCAGGGGTGGCCGGCAGAAGGTCGCGGGAAATCAACAGACGGAAGCATGGACGGGGAGGTCGACGTTGTCGTATTTTCGATGTTCGGAGGCGGCCAATTCGTGATCGGGTACCTCAGGGGATCTCCTGCGACCTCTCGCAAAAACGTTCAGGCAGGGGCGGCTCTGGGTACGGCAGGGGTCTCAGATTCCTCAGGCGTTCCCCCAGACGCTCGCGCGAGGGGGCCTAAATCGTTCCGGACTCTGACCAACTGTTGTATCATGCAGATCATGCAGCGCCCTGTTCAGCGTCCCCTCTTGGTGATGCCCCGCACCTCCAGTTCGATTCCATCGGCGAACGATCCAGTTCCCCAAGATCCGCTTGCCCCGGGGCCTTTTTTTCATGCGTTTTGCGGAGAAAAGCACTTCTTGGCGTGTACCATGACGGGCCAGTACTGTGTGAACCGGGCGCTGGTGCATCGCGCAAATTTGAGTGTCGTGTGTTACATAATGTTGTGTGATGTTATTTTAGTCCATGCCAAGGTATGTTCTTTTACGCGATGTCGCATCGTGCGACGAAACGTTCGCCAAGCTACGCAATGCTACTCAATGATGTGCGTGAAGGTATGCCATGCCAGGATGTTATGTACAATGCTGCCTCTGCTATGGTTATGGTGTGTCGTGCTAATCATTCCGAACAAGAGTTGTCGTGCCATACTACGTCATGCGGTGACAAGTATTATTCATTGCGCTACACCTGTTGTATTATGCCATGCTGTAACACTTTTCACATTGCATGACGCGTCTTGGCGTTTCACCTGGTTGAATTGCTTTGCACACGTATTCAAGCAGCCAAGGAGACCTCCCTACTGAGGGCCACCAGGTTTATTTTGATTTCCCGCTTGTCTAGTAGTAGAAGTGGGCGCCCACTTTACGCATGAATCACAAGTCGTCCCTTCTCCCGTCCTCGCTTCCTCTTTGTACAGTCGGTGCGCTTGAGCAGGTCGACGCTTCAAGATCAAGAGTGCCACTATGTCCTTTCTCCATCCTCCTTCACACTCTCTTGGCTCTGTACTTTGTTGCCCCTCGGAAGAGTCGTCATCCCAGATCTTCCGTCGTGTGTGCTCCGATTGTATGTTGCCTAAGTGGGGCGCTCCGAATAGGGTCTTGCCTTCGAGGAGTCGAAGGAGACGACATCTCTTCCCCAGCGGAAGGTTGCGGAGGGCCAGCGGAAGTTGGCGGAAGTATAACGATTGCGGGTCCGCAGGTTTAAGACCAGCGGATCCGCTTCCGACGGAAGGCCAGCAAGTTCAGGGTTTTTGGAACGAGCCATGTGATGATACGGGAGGAGGTGTTGCTGGTGACAGGATTGATTGGCCAGTCCCTGCACCCCAGACCGATGAATCCATGGCGCCGGCCCTTGGAGCTCTCGATCACTTCTCCAGGGCCACTTTCTCGTCACGAGTGGTTGTTCCACTTTCCCATGGCTCGAAAAAGGCCCCAGGACGCCGAAGCGCAGCTCATGAGCGCTCCCGAGCTGTGTCGTAGGTCTAAACACCCCATGGCCAGCGAGCCGCAGTCCCTGACCAAGACCGAGGGGGGAACGAACCTCTGCCAGCCGTTCTTGATTGTCTTCGGGCCACGTCGCAGTGCAGAGAGGAAGCGGAACCGGAGCAGGAGGACAACGAGGAGGCGAGACGACGGGAACGCCGAAGCGACGATGAATGTACAGGGGCCACCGCCGCCGAGAACCCACGGGGGGGGGGGGGAACCCTTGGCTGTGGCACGCCTGAACGTCGTCCAGCACGGGGTGATGCTTGGGGATAGGCGTAGGGGGAGATGCATCGACCGCCAATCGCCCATTGATCGCCGATAGGGGTATGATAGCCCCGCCCCGTCTAGGAACGTTCGGATTTGCTATCGGGGGCCTATCACCGACATCTCGGCGATGTATGCCCGATGCCAGGTCGATGTTTTCCACCTTTCCCCCCTATGCAAGCCTCCCCCCCTATCGTTTGGTGTTCGGTGGCGTTGGTCTTTGTTTCTTGTCTGCTAGGTTTGATAATGGGGACACAGTGGTAGGGTTTCATTGCAAGTCGGTGCCCAGAGGGAGGCTTCGGAGGCGTCAGGGCGCCTGTCGGGGGACGACGCGGAGTCGGAGCGGGCAGGTAGGGAGCCGAGAGAACGAGGAGGAGGAGGAGGAGAGCGATTTTTCTAACCTTCTGCTTCTAGTTATCTGACGGGCTTCCGACCTTGCGCGGTGATAACTGAGGTGGGCAAGACGGGTTGGGAGGAGGAGGACGAGCAGAAGGAAAGGGCGGGAGGGTGCGCCGCGAGTCTCAGGGGAAGACGAGGCAGAGTGAGTTCGATAATGCGTTAGGTCGTCGGGCGCTCGATGACAAGCGGACAGCTCGAGTAGAGAGACGGCTTGAGGAGCAGCGGACGATAGCATCATCGTCTTAGCCCTCAGGACGAAACAGGCACCGATACCGCCACCCTAGGGAGGTTTGGGGAGTTGCGGCATCTTTATGATTGTATCCCCCAAGCCTTGCGAGGGAGATGTGTCCAACATCTCTCCTCCTACATTCGTTCTCCTCCTCCTCCTCCTCCTCCTCCTCGTATCCCTATCGAGCGCGCGCCTCCGAGGGGCGACTCCCTTCCACCACAGACGGGATTCGAATTAACCGGTTCGATTCTGCAAGCGGTCCGATTGTTTTGTCCTGTAGCAGGTCGTCTTTCAGAGGAGAAGGAGGGCTAGGTGGAGGACTTGGAGGACCAGGGCGAGAGCAGAAGTACAGGATGCGGAGGAGGAGGAGGAGGAGGAGGACCTCCCCCTCCACATACTCCTCGTTTGCTTCTGCTCCCTCCCTCGCGGCTCCCTGCGGAGCGAACGACGACGACGACCTGGACGGAGGCGAGGATAACGACCAGGACGACGACCAGGACAACGACGCCAAGAGCCGAGGATGGCGGCAGCGGCGGCGGCGCATCTGAGCGCCAGGGCCGCTGGACCGACCGCTTCGCGCCTGAAGCTCTACACGGACTCGAGCTGGCTGTCGCAGCCTTTCGGCGACATGTCGGGCCCGCAGGCCCTTCCCCCGCCGCTGGTGGGGGGGTGCAGGGCATAACAGACGCCGTCACCGCCCGCAGCGCATGTGGGGAGCGCCTATTTCGTGGAGGCGCGAACATGGATTGAGGCGCGTGGGTTTGCGGCCGTTTCCGCGCTGTGCAGAATTCGCGCGCTCCGTTGCCATATTTGGCGGTTGTGGACTCATGGTTCGAGGTGTACCTTCCCCGATCGGTGGATGCGGCGCACACGCGCCATATCCACGGATCTGCAATCCATGTGAGCATGCGCCCGAGTAGCCCCTCACATGTGCACCTGTCGGGCCAACGTTGCACCGTTGCCGCGGACAGGTTGGGCGTTGCTCTATAGCTTCATCTGTTGTTTCTGGCTGCGGGGAGAGGTTTGTGTGTCCATTTGCGCGAGGCGTTTGTGGGAAGGAGTTTGTTTTGTTCGCCGCGGAGTTTGCGTGAAACATGGTCCTTCTGCCGTGCTGGAATGTCAGATGCAATATTTGCAGCGGCAGCGTCATAACACAGTCATTACATGAGCTCCTGCTAAGAGCATATTAGAACGACGCGCCGTGGTCAGAAAGGGCGGACTCTACACACCCCAGCAGAGGCGGTGGGACCCAGATTTTTTTGCGCCGTGGAAAATCATGGGGCCGTCAAAGACACCGTCCAAGATGAAGAGCCAGCGTTGGTAAAGGTTTCGAGGCGTCCGAGGTTCCACGCCGTGAGCAACATCATGACGCCCCAGACTCCTGGAGGTCGAGGAGGAGAGGAGACGGACAATCGAGGAATTTGGTTTCTCGGGCGTTTCGGGGCCCTCTTCGGACCTCTTGCGGAGGCCTATTCCGCCCAGCAGGGAGGAGAGGGCTTCACTAAGAGGGTGATGAGAGGAGGAGGCGGAGGAGGAGGAGGAGGAAAAGGAGGACGATGACGAGAAGGAACATGGAGGAGAGAGGAAACGAGTACTGCCCGCCCCCCTTCGATGGTGATGACGCACGCGCCCGTCCCAAGTCCCTCCCCCAGAAGTCCCCACAATTATTCCTTCCCGCTGCGGGAGCCGCCCCTATGAGTTGCCAGAGCCCGCTGGGCCTGTCACGCTCTTTACGTCGCGGCGCTGCAGAGGCAGTCCACATGCGCGTCCAGGCAACGTGGGCTACGGTGTTGCGAACTGTTCCGCATGTTGGCTCAAGAGCTATACATGGCTAAAGCCTCTCGCTCTCCACCGCTTGCGGTTGTGACGCGAGCGCCATGGCGCCCGCCGAGGGTATGCCAGCCTGGGCCAGACAGATGCAGCAAAACATCAAGTCGCACACCGATACGGCCACCGGCAACTTGCGTAGGCAGCTCACGGTGCAGATCGGGGTAGTCCAAAGCAGGATGGATACGGTTGAACAGAGACATACCGACTTCGAGAACCGCCTGCAGAGGATGGAATCCCCGGGAAGCCCTTCCACCACGTTCGCACCTACCTGGCTCGAGATCTGGGGCCTCTGCGAGATCAACAACGTGACGAGCGAGGGCATTGACAGGCCTGGAGCCGCCGAGGTCTTCTCCAAGCTGAAGGCTGTAGTACCAGCTGACTTGCAACGTCACATAGGCGAATTCAAGCTCCACTCCAACAAGAACGCGGCCATCCGCATCCCCATCACCACATCGTATCTCCAGGAGATTGGCAACACGTGGAACGAGCACCTGAGGAACGAAGGGAACAAGTGGAATGGGAAGCAGCTCCGGGTACGGTGGCAGCCCAAGCCCGAGACCGCTACGCGGAACGCCAAGCTGGGAAAGGTCGTGGCTTCGCGACGAACGAAATCGACGGCACCTGCACCGGGGCCCAGATTGGACCGCTTACGCCGAGAAGGAGGGGGAGGCGGCTAAGCTGATCGCCGCCGTGGAGCCCGATTCGCAGGTCATTTGGGATAAAGGTGGCCTCCGACTTTTTTTCGAAACCTAGCACCGAGGCAGCGACCGCAGCCCTCGACAGGTTCAAGCGAGGCCGCTAGGGCGCCCGGGGGCTTGGATTCAGAGCAGGGTTCTTTGGCAGTGGTCTCTTGGAGCGTTGGGAAGAAGGCTAGTTATACAAGCGGGGAAGGCTATCGGTCGCAGTCTTCACGGATTGGGGCTTGGGCCTTGCAATCGTATGTCTTCAAGGAGTTCCTAGATGGCCAGCTGGAACGGTCATTGGTGGTACCAGATTTTGGCCTCTGCTACACAAGCCGGCCTCGACAACGGGGGGATTGGCGAGGATTGCGCCTTCTTGGCTCCTGCACACGCCGGGAACCTCGTCCTGGGTGTTCGTTTTGGGAGATATTGGGCCGGCATTTTTTCGACCACGTCTGCATTTTCTCAATTCATGCTCTTCATCTCCCTTCTGCCGATTTTGACCAAGACACCCATCTCGCACGTGTCCAGACGGAAACTTCCGAGTTTTACATGCGCGTTTGCTCTGACGCCAACGGAGGTAGCAGGCGTTGACGCGAACGCTACTCTTCCGCAGAATTTTTATAGCATCGCGGGCGCTTCTATTCTTCCTCCCCGTCGTAGCCACACGCGCACGCGGCAGAGAGATATCATGGCATGGATGGGACATTTTACGTTACGGGCCGTCAACACGTTTGGAAACACATCTGCGCCAAATGCACTTTGGATATGCGGCGTCAAGCGAACGCCAGCTGCCAGATCTCAGATCGATTATGCATGCGCGTCTGGCGCCATAGATGGAACAACCTACGCCTTGCAGGACGCGTCGGTGATTGAGGTCTGCGTCCGTTTCAAGCTGGACCATCGGCCGGTTGTGGGCCACTTGACCCTCCCTGGGGTCATATTCCGGCTTCCGCCGCGACCGCCATCTCTGAAAGGCTGGCGACCAAGACGGCAAGTCGACCGAGAAGAGTTTTAACGGGGAGTCCTCGAGTGCAAAAGGGACCTCGCAGACGTGGAAAACGACGTCCGGGAATTAGCGCATCGAGTTCCACGCGCCGCCGCGCGCGCTGACCGGGATACAGAAAATGACGAACTTCAATTTGCAGTGGCCGGTTTTTCGCCGACAACTCTTCGAACCTGACTTGGGCCATCGGGCTCGGGGCATCAAGCGAGAGACCCGGAAGATACGTCGCACAAGAGATCGCCGTGCACGGATGATGCAGATAACGAAATTGACAAAGTCCTCGCAGCCGGAAGCATTTCGACCAGTCCGCATGGAACTACCGATTGGTTTGTCCAACGATCGGAAAGTCTGGCTACAGGCCTTGCGGGATTTCGGTCTGGATCGTCTTGGGCGCGCCGACAACGCAGTGCAGGGTCTGATGGAACGGTTAGTTGTTGTGCGTGCTTCTTCTTGCGCTGACCGATTGGATGGCCATGGCCCACCGCGTTGCGCTTTGGATTTCTGCGATGTCTTGCAGGCCCGGGCGCCCGTGCTCGACGCCGAGGGGGTCGGTGCAGACGGGGCCCCTGCTGAGGTCTGCGAGGCGACGCCGCGGGCCGCTGCCCCACAGATTGCTTTTCTTTGCGTGCGAAGATTTCATTTTACAGCCAATGGCGATTCGCTTTGTTGGCGGCTCCTGGACTTCATTCGGATTCCAAAGACTGTCGATATTCGTGCATTCCGGGATATGCGATGTACATGTAACTCGGCATCGTTACAGAAATCTTACATTCGCAGCTCGAGGCCACAACTCCGACGGCGACAACGGCCAAGCAATGTGCGCGCCAACGGTTTCTGGCCGTCGTGCTGCAGGACAGGGCACCTCGCTGCCTTTGTCCAGCAATTGCTACACTTAGCATCTTCATGGGGCATGGCTTTGCTGGTGGCAGTGCAGGATGTAGATACTGCTTTCGATGCAGTGCGCCACGAGCACATCACGACGTCGCTGCGCCCCCAAGGCGCCTCACCAGTGGCGGTTGCAGCCCGCGCCCGGGAACTCGCTGGCATCCGGGCTGCAATGCATAGCCCAGGAGTCGGCAGCACAGAGTCGTTCGAGCACAGCTAAGGGGGGGAACAAGGTGGGGTGGGCACCCCGGACGAGTGGAATGCGCTACTCGACTACCTCCTCGAGCCGGTTGCACAATCATGGAGCATCAGAGGTTCCCGATTCAAGTGGGAGGCCGAGGGCGGAAATTACCACGTGCATCACGCCATATGGCGCGATAACATTGTGCTGCTCGCCAGCGACCAGATCACGTTGAGCATGGCGATATATGACATCACCAGACGTTTTCATGATCACGGTTTTTATTGGAAGCCGTCGCCATTGGAAGTTCCCCCCGCAGGGCCCTTTGCGAATGACTTCCAGCATGAGTTCAACGCATCGCAGAAAGGTCAGACTCACGCATGCAAGATTTCAGACAGTCTAGTTTTACTTGGCGAACTTCTGGATACGGAGGGGAGCCCTATGGCCAGCATCCATCATCAGCAGACAATGGCGGACCGAGTTTTCTACAAGAGCACAGCGATGTTGATTGCCCGTGGGCCGGTGCCCCCCCGCTTGAGGGCATGGTCATCATCTCCGGCTACCTCGTCTTTGTTTGGCTGTGCAGAACAGTTGCAGGGTGCTCGGCGCTGGGAACACGCCCGGCTGCGTCAAATGCTTCGTCTTCGACGACGGCCTGGAGAGGGCGCCATGCAGTGCAATGCAAGATCCGCCGGGGTCATCCGGCTTTGGCTGGGGTATTCTGGCAGTACCTTTTGCGCACACTGCATATTACATATTATATGCGAGGCGGCCCGGGATGAGCAATTTGGCGTGCTGAAGTCAAAAGATAATCCACTACGCAGAGCCCGTCGGTTTCGCGACCAATTGTGGCGGGAAGGCAGCGTGGCCCTTGCTTCGTACCGGAAGCGACGACTCGAAGGCATCGTGCGCGCGCGGTCTGGGCACCGGGCGGCTTGGGAAGGCCCTCTCTGCAAAGTATTCGGGTCCGATTGGCGCTCTATTTGCAAAGCTTCAAAATCCAAGGCGGTTTGGCTCCGAGGGGCGGAGAAGTTCGCGCGGGCCGCATGCGCCCATTGCGG